GTATACTTTCTAGTACACTATAAGTACATGGTGCCTAGCATACCTGATATACTTAAACTTATACTCAAGTAAATTTATTAAAATGAACTTCAAGTATACTACTTTTTGCTAAGAAAACACATTAATTAGAAACCTGCATAAACAATGTGGTTTTCAGTTCCTATTTAAAGGAGTTTCTGCCCATGTCAGCGTTTCAGGAAGTGTTTTTTTTTTTTTTTTTTTTTTGAGTTTAGAAGAAAAGAAACTAAACACTTCCTCTTCTTATTTAATTCTGGTCCTGTGAACACTGTGAACACATTCTTGATCAGTCGAGGGACACATTGTATACCTCATAAGTATAACTCTGACCATTCAGTGCCAATAAAAACACTTTTAAATCTTTTTTTTTAACAAACAAGAAGCCAGAGCAGTAGTTTAAGGACTGGTGTGATAAGATCTGTCTGCACTTCTGGTCAGGATTGTGAATGAGCTGCCAGTTTTATTATTATTGTTGTTGTTGTTGTTGTTGTTGTTGTTGTTGTTGTTGTTGTTGTCTATAAAGACACCAATGTAATATATTAATCTACTGAAAATAAAAGCCTACACCACTTTTTGGAACCTGTTCAGACAGTAATCTCCTGCAGTGTCCTCAAGATAAAAAATAAGCTCAGAGCACTACCGTGCTATTATTAACTGGGCTTGAGTGAATCAACACCATTATTGTGCTATTTTTTAAAATGATAAGCATCTAAAATACACAAATATGTTACTTAACACTAATCCCTGTGAAAGTGTGTGTACACTGACAGACTAACGGCCACTCCTGCGTGTCTCAGTGTGTGTGGCACAGTACACGTGCCCAGAGGACAGCCAGTGTGTGGACTACTACAAAGTGTGTGACCAACACCCAGACTGCCCCCAGGCCACAGATGAGATGAACTGCACTGATGGTAACACACTCCTCACCTCCACAGCTTTACACGTTCACACRTGAAACACTGTCATGGCCTCCAGCAAATCCCTCAGCAATGCCGATCTAAAATAAACTTTTCTGTAGAGCACTCCAAAGTCAACATTCTGGGAATACTCRGATGTGAAATGAGGAGAAAAATCAAATTTATTCTTAACAAGTCTGTTTTAATATTTTTATAGCAAAGTTTGTGGGTCTGTGTGTGTGACCAGGTGTGGAGTGTACAGATATGACCTATGTGTGTGCTGATGGAACATGCCTAAAGAAGCCAAATCCTGAGTGTGACTCTGTCACCGACTGCCCAGATGCCTCGGATGAGAAGCAGTGTGGTGAGAGCTCACACATGTTCACCACAATCACATTTATTCACCAGGTGTTCTTACATTCAAGGAATTTGACTTGGTGCTGCTGAGGTGCAGAACATGCAACATAAACAAAGTCGTAAAAATTGAATAGAAAAATACGAGATAAATTAAAAAATAGTCAAGAAAATAGGAGAATGTAGACAAAATACTGTAATGCATCTGTATCTTCACTGATTTTGTTCCTGTAATGAAAATTACAAAAAAACTGTGACCGGTGCTGATGAAATGAGTCACAATGAAGCTATCAGTATAAAGTTATTATTTTCTAATTCTCCATCTCAAAACCTCAAAATACACGGTGATAACATTTTCAATTTCTCATCTGGCTGGCAATAAATTAATTTTGTTTAAAATAGTATGGATTTGAAAACTTTCTTTTTGGTCTACATTAATCAAAAAGAAAAAAAATTGTATTGGTCTTCTGGATGGGTTCCTCTCCAATGAAACGCCTCGTCTCTCCTCCAAGAGACCTCCCCAGTCCGAGAGCTCTCGGACTGGGGAGGTCTCTCATTTCATTGGAGAGGAACCCGTCCAGAAGACCTATACAATTTTTTTCTTTTTGATTTTTTACCTGGATTACTGAGATGCATCAGGACGTCTACATTAATGATTCTGAAGAAATTTATCGGGGTTGTTCACTACTGACTTTTAATAAGCACCACACATTGTATAWTCTTTTTTTATGAACTGTTGTGTGCCTAGTTTTGTGATTAAATTGATGATTTTGTGTACAGACTTGTCTGGGTGGCTACAAATTGTAGTTACACMGAGCAGAATGTACTTATAGATAAGATAGATAGATTTAAAAAATAAAAAATAGATAAGATACATGCCTGAAAACACTTTCAACACTTAAGTGAACTGTTGTTTTCACACAAGGGCAAGAAAAATGTGTGAGGACCTRACCCAAGCTGTAGGGTAGGTCCTGAAGATAATCATATAATGAAGGGACTTCCTGAACTGGGGRGCTGAACACAGAACTGAGAATAAACTGCCTTCAGACAGAGTGCTCTGTGCTGTGTTGTATGAACTCTTTTCACATTCATATATTRGTGTATTTTCTATTGGGTACAAACACGTAACCAGGTAAACAAACACATAATTAGGAATTCTAGTCACATATTCAAAAAGGTGGACCCTTAAGCTTCGCAACAACAAACATTATACAAAGGGATTTTCAGGCACAGTAGCACTGTTGCCCTGTTAGACAAAGAAATGTTGACATATCAGTTAAAACTCTTCAATTTAAAGGTAGATTATGAAGCATCTATGCTATTTTAGTTACCGAGGTCACCATAAGTATTTATGGATGCAATTTAGGTAAATTTCAATAATAGCAAATATCAATATTTTCACATATTTTKCTCTGCAGCCTGAGCTCATTCTGACTCATTTTCCCAGCACAGGTTAGAGGCTTTTAGACGGCAGATTCCTGCTGTTCACCTGCTCCTTTAGGCACCTGCTGAGCRTACAAGGAACAGTCGGGTCACCTGGGAAACCAACACAAATTGTTTGCCATAAGAAATCTATAGTGTTGTGAAAAGAATGTATTTCAGTGCAGTGCAGTGATTTTTACCCCCTAAAATCAAACAAGCTGGTTTGAATTTCAATTAGGTTTTATTTGAGTAAAAAAAACATCCAAACTGTGACCTTTTCTACATCTGAAATGTAAATAGAATGCAACCGAAAGAACAGAGTTATTAAAAAAAGTTTTATCTTCTCAAACTATATTGACAGTAGAATGAGGTGTTTATAGTAAATGTTACCCCCCACCAGGTACTGACACATATGAGAAGAACGTGTAAAGATAAAAAGGCATAACGACAAATGTGAATATTTTTCCTATATTAAATTTTTTTTCTATAAAATTACAAGTTTTGAATTTCATTAGTAATTTTTCTAAGATTTATTCGTCCATCTTGTCAGCATGTTAGTTAAGTATGATAAACTGTTATGAAATAGGTGAATGTCATCTCAACACCTTTAAACAGCATGCATACACACTGTTGCAAATGTGATAAATAAAGTGTGTATGTTGTGTGTGTCTCTGATCAGACTGTGGCCTGAGACAGTTCTCCAGTCGCATCGTTGGGGGAACGGATGCCTTGGAGGGAGAATGGCCGTGGCAGGCAAGTCTGCAGGTGCGGGGAAACCACATCTGTGGAGGMGCCCTGATCTCCAGTCAGTGGGTGGTGTCCGCCGCGCACTGCTTTTATGACGACCAGTAAGTACGCCAATCAGAAAAGGAGGAGGCGTGACGACTGCCGAGTTCAGATGCTAAAACACCTTTGAAGTGTGTTTTCTGATGTCTGAGTCTCTCTTTTAAAATATAAGGCAGGATTATRTTTCTGTTTCTTCCTAATCTTCGTCGGTCCTGCAGGGTCGGGGTTTAGCTGTGACAGCTGCCTGACTCGGAGTCAGCTTGTGTTTACGTTCTTATCAGCTGCTGTCTTTCAAACACGGCACCAACTGAATGGACTGTGGCCAAAAAAAGAAGAAAAAAAAAGACCTAGCTGCAACTTCCTGCAGAGGATTAACAGCTCTACCTAATTTTCTTGCTTGGTGTTGTTGGAGTGTTCACTGACTTTCTGCATTTCAAAGGATGAAGAGGATTAAAAAGATAAAAAAGCAGATACTTAAGCATTTGTTATGTCAATAAGAACAATCTGTGTTTGCAGCCTCTGTGATGTGCCTGTTTGTGCTCCTGCTGCAGACTCTATTCCCCGTCAGTGTGGACAGTTTATCTTGGGAAACTGCTGCTGAACCGGAACAGCCCGACAGAGGAAGTGGCACGAGTTCAACAGATCAATCTCCATCAGTACTACGACGACGAATCTCAYGACTACGACTTGGCCTTGTTGAAGCTGGACCGCCCAGCGTACACACTGCTGATGGGACACGCCCGACCCGCCTGCCTGCCACCGCCCACACACCAGCTAGAGCCGGGTCTGCTCTGCTGGGTCACTGGTTGGGGGGCACTGCGAGAAGGAGGTGAGCTGGGAGCTTGGGAGGTAAAGGTTGAAGTGGTGTGTTCCATGGCAGGTGGTTTAAAAGACTGGTCAAAAATAACAATCAAGCATTTCCAGTTTCCTCTTTCAACAGTCTATATAAAAACATTAATTCAAACATTTATGAATGCATGACTGAATACTTTTTTAAAGGGGCAATATCATGTAAAATCAAAACTTTTTTTAGGTTTTATATCATGTTATAATGTCATACAC